TAAACTATATAAATATAATAAAAAATACTAAAATATTTTAATAGCTATATATAGCTTTTAAGCTTAAGTTTTATTTCTTAATAAATATAACTTTTTTTTTATTTTTAAAAAAAAACAATTCTTTTTAAAAAAGCTTAAAATTAATATATATAATTTTATAAAAATACTAAGAGTTTAAAAAACATATTATTAAATAGCCCTTTTTTTAGAGAAAATTATATATTTTTCTTAAAATACTACTTAAGCTAGTTATATAGTTATTTAGAAATATATCCATTTTTAAAGGTGTATATAACTTTTACACTTAAATTTTAGTGTAACCAACTGTCTTAAGGTTTTGTGCATATCTTGGGGTTTTATACCTAACTAAGCTTGCTTAGTTGGCCCCCCTATTGCTCGAGCTAACGGGTAGTAGCTTCAAGCATGGGTTATAATAAACGATATCTGTTAACATACTCTTATCCGGGTCTCGGCAAGATTTGAATGGGGCTCTATGAAACTCAGGGCGCTGATAGGATTGCCTAATTTAGTAAAAAATACGGATATAGCAGAATGGCTTACACTAAAAATCGCTGATCTACGGTGTACCACCAAACCGTTTCCGGTGTTTTATCCCCCCTAGGCAGGGTACTCAGTATCTGCCTAACCAGGGTTGCCACGCAGGGAGACACTAGGCTAGTTGATATGTACAGTACTGATAGCGGCACGTCGCTCACTTCTGCATTTAACCCTCTACCTTCACATTTGCCCAAGTAAAATGGTCGTACGATACGCTCATTTGAACCCTTCCAGAACAGGGTCATCCCAGCTGAAGTATAGAACAGCTCCGTCAGTATCAAAACATAAAGCACCGAAATGGCTCTAACTCACTCAAGAAACTTGCCGCGAAGCGTCGCGGGTGCCCTCAAGGCCAATTCGGCAATGACTGCGCCTGGCTGCTCAGGCTTAACCATCTGCGCCGTCTCGTATAGTGTGACGAGAGACTGGTGATCCTCGGCATCCATTGCCGGGCCGTATTGCTCGCGCACTCGCTTCGACATGTCGGTGTCGACCATTCCGGGAACGATTTCCAGCACGTTGACCAGTGGCTCTTCTAGAGTCAACGTGCCAACATAGTGATGCAACGCTGCCTTGGAGGCGCCGTAGGGACCCCAGCCGCGATAGTAGCGGTGGATGGAATGAGACTGGGTGATTATGACTTGCCCGTGAGATTCCCGTAGCGCGGGGAGTGCGGCATTGATCTTTGGTTGTGTTAGCGTCTAACATAGTTGTTTGATGTTCTGCATGGACACGTTCCAGACCTACCAGACCTACTGACCCGAAGAAGTTGACGTTGAAGGCAGCCATCCAGTCTGCCACCTCGATCTCGCCAGCCACTCCAACGGGCTCGATAATGGCATGGTTGACGGCAACTCCGTTGATGTGACCAAAGGCAGCTAGACAGCGCGTAACTACGACCGTGCCGAAAGCCGGGTCGGCAAGGTCGCCGCAGAGGTACTGCATACGGTCTGGATGAGCCGATTGGAGTTTCTGCAGGGGCTCTGGGGACCGAGCTACTGCAAAGACATTGCATGTCGGGTTTGACAGGAGGCGGCAGCAGATAGCATGCCCGATTCCTGTCCATCAGCTAAGCGTGTGCAACTAGAGTAGATCCTGTAGACCTGAGGGAAAGAGTACTAACCTCGGGATGCGCCAGTCACGATGATGATTCGGGCCATAGTGCTTCAATTGTGATTCATTGAGTTATTTGTCCATGTATTGAACCGAGAGTGGACGGCTAAGGTATATATCCATACAGTGACTTCGAGGTGGCGCCACCGCTCAACAGGCAGTCTCTGGTGCATTGATGCAGCGGAAGCCGGGATTAACAGAGAACCATTCATCCTATCCTAATCTATGTATATATCATCACCACTGGTGGTCAGACCCTTGACTGGCAAAAAGAGAACGTTCTGTGAGGACAGTCTGTGGGGAACCCCATTCCACCAGCTCCCCATCGTCCAGCACTACGACGCGGTCATAATTAGAGATGAAGTCCAGCCGGTGAGCAATCGCAATAATGGTGCAGCCTCGAAATTCCTGGTCGATGAGGTCGCGCATTCGTATATCAGTCTCATGGTCTACATTGCTGGTCACCTCGTCAAGGACCAAGATTTGCTTTGGCTGCAACAGCGCCCGGGCTAAACAGAATAGCTGTGTCTGGCCGGGTGAGAGAGTCAATGAGCTCATCTCGGCATCGAGTCCTCCATTGGCCAGCAGATATTCGTCTAGCCCGACACGACGACAGACGTCGAGCAGCTCCATATCTGTTTGGGCCCCTGTAAAGTCGAGATTGAATCTCGCTGAGCCTCTGATGAGAAGTGGGTTCTGCGTGATAGTGCTCAGCCGCATGCGTATTTCTTCGGGCGGTACCGTGGCTAAGTCGATGTCATCGATCAGGATGCGGCCGCTGTGAATATGCATGCCACGATACAATGAGAATATTAAAGAACTCTTGCCACTGTATCAAGTCAGACTAATCTGGCGTCAGGCATATATGCCCTGATCGACGCTTACCTCCCTGTCCGCCCACAAATGCCCACCTTCTGGCCAGGCTCAATTCGCAGAGAAATCTTCTTCAAGGTGACGGGGGACGAAGGTCTGGTAGATGTTAGAAAAGAGCACAAGAGATCATATCAGCTAAACATAACGCACGAATAAGAGGCTACAAGATCCTCAATGTGAATGCTGCCCTTCTGTGGCCAGTTCGGTGGGAGTGTGATCCTGTCGCCAGTACCTACCTCGACAGGCGTTTGTTGCATGAAGGTTCGGGTACGAACAAGGGCTCCCAGTGAAGTCTCAAGCTTAGTCCAGGCCTGTACTACAGCTGCCAGATTGGAGTTGAAGGTTGTGATATTGCTGATAGCAAGCCCAACGGCGCCGGCGGACATGGAGTTTGTCAGAGTAACCGTTAAGACAGCAAGCAGGATTGCCATGCCGGCGACAAGGAGATCAAGTACGAGCGCGAGCCACCTCTGGATACAAAAGAGCATATAGACAGCGCGCTGCGAGTCGTCCAACAGCACATGATGCTTGTTCGTGAACGATTCTTGCCAGTGGAAACAGCGGATCGTGACGAGACCACGCATAGATTCCAGGAATTGACGATACAACGGCGCTCTTAGTTCAATATCCAACAACCGGACCTGTCGCGAGGTGCGCAGATATAGCCGTTGGATCAGATATATGGTCAGCAGACATGCCGGAATTGTTGCCGCGAGCCAGTGCGCAGAAACACAGATGACCACTAACTGGACAATGCAGATGGCAGCAACTAGCCTTAGTCAGACAATAGACGGCAGATTTTTGGAGAGAAGTAGGAGTGCTCACAGGCGGTAGTATTCAGTGCGGCGAGCGGGAGGCTCATGTCGAACAATTGCATGTCTTCACTGAAGTGATTCATCAAGACACCTATATCAGTCGCTGAGAAGAAGGACAGAGGCGCACTATGGAAAGTCAGCCCACCTCCGCAACACTCATCTAATTATTAATGAAGGGTTACCCAATCGTCGACCGAAGGACAACTGAATGGAAATACAGAGCGGAGCGAGACACCATTCGCACGATGAGTTGCCTAGTACAGCGCCGCTTAGCAAGGATTCAATTCGTTCACGTGTATAGTAGGCCGGTCATGGGCTCATGGCAAACACTCACCAACTAGCCAGGCCTACAAGGAGCAGGGTTAATACTCCTAGAGAGGCATATACTGAAAGACGCCCAGCCACGGACGTGTTGCTTCCAGTTGCGTTTGCGCTAGACCACCAGCTGAGCCAGATTGCTAAGTACAAATAAGTCATGATGCCACCGTTAGCTGCACGGGGAATGAAAACTTACTGGAAAAGTTATACAGAACACCTAGGATAGCAACCAGGACCAAGTACACCAAAGTATTGAACCATCCGGCGGCGGCGGCGTAATAGCTATATAAGGTCCAGTCGCCTCTCTTCCGCGAGGTCAGGAGCGGCATGGCCAGAGCCGGATCTTCTGTTTCTTCCTGTATTTTCTCATGGCCATATCCTGCTCCCGCGGGAGGCGGGACTTGCTTGTTTTCCCGCTGCTCCCGCTGCTGCGCATGCATAATGACATCGCCCTCCGTTTCTTTGACGGGTCTCTGTAAGTCAATAGTTCCCAGCCCAGTCAGGAAGACAACATGGTCGAACAAGTGAAGCAGGCGGTTGTCCGTGGTCACAAGCAACAGGGCAGCACCGTCCTCTTTGAGCAGTCCATGAGGACCAAAGACTTGTCGGAGCACCTTTGACTTGGTTTGCTCGTCAAGACCAGACAGAACATCATCTACCAGAACCAAATCCGTCTTCTGCATCAGCGTTCGGGCGAGGGACTACAATTCCCGTAAGTCAACTGGGTAGGAATAATGAAGGTAGAGAAGGGTAAATGACATACTATGCGCTGCTTCTGACCGTGACTGAGCTTTATTGCGTTGCTGCCAACCACAGTCTGCTCTCCTTCAGGTAAAGATGCCAGGTCCTCTTCTAGATCACACGCGTGTAGGACGCGCTTATATCGGGCCAAATCTGGCAGGGCCTCACCACAAATGTTTTCCCGGACAGTGGCGTTAAGCATCCAGGGACTTTGGTCACAGTAACCGATTGATCGACCGTAAGTATCGATTCTTCCTGATGACCATGGAGTCTCGCCAAGAATGCCTTTGAGAAGAGTGGATTTACCGCAGGCGACGGGGCCAGTGATGGCCACCGACCACCTTGGAGGAATCTTGATAGATAGCTCGCGCAGCACAGGGTGGCCAGCCTTCCATCCGAAGCTAGCTTTGTGCATCTGCAAGGATAATTCCGGATCTTTAAGTTGGATTGTTTCAGAAGAGGAAGGGCCTGAAACTACAGACACGGGATGGCTGCTCGCCATAAACTTCTGAATGCGATCCAGACAGCCCAAGGACCCTGCAAATCCGGGAGCCGCCTGGACGAGAAGATTGATAGGTTCAGACAATAGACCGATCATCGTCAGAGAAGAAAAAGCCCGAGGAGGAAGCAAGGAGCCGTTGCTCGGAGCGGCATAGATGATAAAGGTGACTACAGGTGCTAAGGTCATGGTGATGCGAGCTATGCGAAGAGTCAGTGCTGCAAAGTGAGGCAAATAGCATGAGAAGTTGAGCTACAAATTACGACAATCCCTACCAGGAGGCGACGCAGTTTCTGGGAAGTTTCCAGCTCTTTGGCGCGTAGCCCCTGGATGTGATTGGTAAAGAAGCCTGTCAAGCCCAAGAACTTGATCTCGCGTATGTGGGCTAACATATCTGCCGTAGCTCCGAGTCGGACCTGAATGCTTTCATTCCAGTATTTCTGCTTCTGACCGAGGCGAGAGAACAATGAAAGACTTGCCAGTACACAACCTGTGTAAGTCAGAATGATCATGTCCAGCTTGAAGGGGAGGAGGTAGGTTAATAGATGTCTTACTTAATGAAAGAACCAGAGGCGCGGTCGACCCCCAATGGACCTGCCGGGCCAGTAACCACATGACCAGTCCGATCTGAACAAAGGAAGCCCAGATTTCGTGAGTTTCAAGAAGGCCAAAGATGGTTGTGTCTACGTCGGCGCTGATCAGGGTCAGAGTCGGAGACGAGTCATCACTTGTGGACAAGCGAGACGCCAGAGCCGCCTGGTAGGTGGCGCAGATGAGAGCGCCCCGGACCATGGCAACGAAGCGATACATGGAATGGTAGTAGACAGTAGTAAATATCTGATTGTTGGAGGTAGACAAGATTAGCTATCGAATGCTTGAAGCTGAGAGTGTCGCGTCTTTCTTACCGCTATCCCTCCGTAAACTAGAGCAACGGCCGCAACGAGTCCCAGGCCTCTTGCCCTGTGATTAGGCTCGTCGGATAGGCTTACGTACTCTACGAGGTGCTCGATAATGACTGGCTGCAGCACTGTAAAAGCCAAGAGACCTAGACGGGGCAGCACGGCGCGAAGCAACTGCCATTTGAAGGCTTGGAGTAGACACCAGGCCAAGATATGGGGTTGTTGAGGGTCAGGACAGCAGCGCCACTGCCGCTGAAAGGCATCATGGACCTGAGAAGCTCGCAGCTCGGCATCAAGACATATCAGATCCTTTGGTAGGATATCCTTACGCGACCCACTCACGATAGAGGGCAGCAGCCAGCCGAAGACGGACCGGCTGAGGATGCCTGCCACCTCCTCCTCGGTTACGTCGCAATAACCGTCTAGTACTATGCGCTGTTTTTGACGAGCTTCTAGGATTAACCAGACCACCTTGGCGCAAAGGCATGCCGTAAGCATGGGTGCTAGAGGAAGCCGCAGCTGTAGCAGCCACAGAGTGCGAACGCGCGAGATATCGAGCAGAATGGTGAGCGGCAGATATAAGCAAATCAAGGTCGACGGCCGCAAGGTCTTGAAATGGTCAGCGTGTGATACGAGCCCTAAAACCAGCGTAGCCGCCAGCTCGACGCCCCCAGCTGGGAGAGCGGCGCGGGAGGGCCGCAGACGTTGCACGGCCCAAAGGACGAGAAGCGCGAGCTGCAAGAGGGCGAGTATGGCAAATGCAATCAACTTTGGTCCGAAGCCAGCCCGTGGCCGCACCTTTCGAGGACTGTCTCGTAAATAACACAGTCGGACCACGCCTAGGAGAATGGTCACGGTGCAAGGGATGATTGTCAGAATGGTGTCTTGGAAGAACAACGTGAAGTCAAACCCGCCACGGCAACTCAGTGGGACACTTGGTCCCAAGGAATTGTCATTGCAAACCATCTTAGTAGCTGGCGTTGTCTCTCCTTGTCAGGTTGATCCATAAACCTCAGGTGCAAACAGACAGTTATGTAGAACGTGTGTTGGTAGGTATGTTGAACGTGGTCGTAGTGTAGTTCACTGTTTCTCGTAGCACTCTGTTGATCCGAAAGACTAAGAGGCCACTTTTATCAGTATGCAGTTGGAGGGTCGGTTGGGTTTATTGTGGCACTGTTAGTAGTGGCACCACCAGGATGGTATGAATCTGTGGTGCCACTCAATATGGAGCTTTCATTGGACAATGTTACATACACGCAAAGGCATAGACTTTGGCCAATTAGTTAGCAATGGACCGGCATCGTGCATTCATAGGTACTATAGATATACATAGAAACACTTTCTGCTTACAGCCTCACTATATGTCGGAATAACAGCCTTGAAAAAACATACACACACATAAAAAAAGAAGGAAAAGAAAAGAAAAGAAAAGAAAAGAAAAGAAATACCAGAAAAAAAAACGTTACTGTGCTCTGCCAAATTAGCAGAAATCCCAGTATCTCAGCTCATCAATTGGCCATATCTCGACTTATACAGCCAGTTACAAGTCGGTAACATGAACATGAAGCCGAAGTCAGACACGGACACCGCTGTCCATCAGATGCAGCAACTTTGGCAGAGCGTACTGGCCACAGAGCAGCCTATCAGCCTAGGCGACAATTTCTTCGAACTTGGCGGCACCTGGAGTGCTGCGGTTCTGGCGTCGATGAAAGCAGCAGACAAAGGGCTGTCCTTCGGGGCCGAGGACCTGTATGAACACCCACGTCTCTGCGATCTTGTGAAAAGCTGCCGTGTTGGAGCGAAGCCCGTGACCTCCGCCACCGTCTGGTCTGATGAGGACCCAGCATCATCTTTCCCTGCCGGCCCGTCGCCCTCAGGAGAAGCAATTTGGCAAACCTGCGATGCTGAGCCGCAGCTGTTTTGGCACCCCACTGGCCGGCTGAAAGCACCGCCTAACCTCATCCGCGCAGCATGGGCGCTACTGCTAGGTAAGTATGAGGATGCGGTCAAGGTTGCGTTTGGGACTGCATCTTCAGAGGCGCCCATGTCACCGGTTGTTTTCGCATGGGACTATGATGATAAGACTGAGGCGTTCCTGGACCACGTACAGCAACTGAACAAGAATGCAAGCGAGTCAATCACCACCGACCAAAACGTTCGTTGCGGAGTGCGAGTTACTACAGTCCTGGATGCGTCCGAATTTGACGATACGTGTCGAAGGATCCGCGCGAGTTCGCCGTTGCTGGCACTGGATATTCATTGCCTATTGTCCGCGGACCGCGTCTCTCTTATCGGTGGCTCCTATACTTCAGTTCTGTCTGCCTCTTCCTTGCGTCGAGTGCTAGACCAAATCCAGCATGTTATCCAGCAGATGGCCGCCTGTCGATCTGACGACACCCTGCGCAATCTGCAGTATGTCAGCCCCAGCGACCGTCAACAGTTGCTGGAATGGAACAAAGATCTGCCATTGGAGGTAACCGCATGTATTCACGAAAAGTTTGACTGTTCGGTCCGGCAATGGCCGGATGCCGTAGCTGTCGATGCGTGGGATGGCACCTTCAGCTACCTTGAGCTTGACATTTTCTCTTCTCGGCTTGCTGCAGTTTTAGCTGGGCGAGGCATCACTCGAGAGATCGTCGTCGGTATTTGTTATCAGAAGTCAAAATGGGCCGTGGTCTGTATGCTGGCAATCCTCAAGGCTGGTGGCGTTTGTCTATTCCTCGACCCTGAAGCGCCGCGTGTGCGACGGGAATCGATGCTTCACGATGCGGACGTGAAGCTGCTTCTGACATCGCCAATCGGCCTAGAGGACGATGGAGACGGGATCCCATGCTTGGCAGTTTCCCATCCCTTCTTCAACACAATCGACCCTTCGTTAGCGTCTCACTCAGCCGCAGTAAGCAGTCCCTCGGATGCTGCATTTATTTGCTTCAGTTCTGGCAGCACAGGCGCGCCCAAAGCCAGTGTTACTGAACATGGCTCTGTATGCACACTGGCCAAGCATCGTGGACAGCTAACATCGCATGGGCGCGGTACACGGCTGTTCCAGTACACCTCATATACCTTCGATGTCGCATTTTGTGATATGGTGACAACATTGCTGCACGGAGGGTGTCTCTGCATTGCCTCAGATGAGGAACGCATGAACAATCTTGGGCAGGCTATTCGTCTCTTTGATGCCAACCTCATGTACCTCACACCCTCTGTCCTGGAAATATTGACGCCAGAGAACTTGCCAGGATTGAGCAATTTGATTGTCGGCGGCGAGGCTCTGACAACCAGCATCGTCCGTAAGTGGGCGCACCGGACGAACCTCATGGTGACCTACGGCCCAAGTGAATGCACAGTCTCGTGCATGGGAATCAGCCGGCTGGGTCCCAATACACCAGCTGGCATCATTGGGAAAGCCATGGGCTCACGCACCTGGGTGGTGGATACGGCCAACCCGCGGAACCTAGCTGTCGTAGGCACCGTCGGCGAGCTTTGGATCGAGGGACCGCTGGTGGGCCGCGGATATATAGATACGACCAAAAATCACAGCGCCTTCGTCTTCGTACCACCGTTCCTACCGGAGCTGGACCCCAGTACCCAAGTCCGGGTATATTGCACCGGGGATCTAGTGCGCTACCGGGAGGATGGCGTCCTGCAGTTTATCGGACGACGTGACATGCAAGTCAAGATCCGCGGACAGAAAGTCGAGCTAGACGAAATCAATATTCATTTAGCAAAAGCCTTGCCTGATGGAGCCATAGGCTTGGCCGATGCCGTCGATGGTCTCCTCGTAGGCTTCGTTTGTTGGCCGCAAGGAACCGATCAGGAACAGATGATCCCGGAGATCGAACATTACATGAGTCAGGTCTTGCCACGCTACATGGTGCCGCGGTTGTTTGTGCCGATTCCAAGTGTGCCGAGGACCACCTCAGGGAAGCTAGATCGAAAGGCCCTACGTGCGTATCTGGTTGCTTTGCGGACTGCAACAGGACCTGTATCCCAGGACTTGACAGAGATCGAAATTAACTTGGCGAGGCTCTGGCAAGAGGTAATCAAGGACCCAGTCGGCGTTCTAGCCAGCGAGTCCAGCTTCTTCCGTGCAGGAGGGGACTCTCTGGCTGCGATGAGACTGGTGCAGGCCGCTAGAAACCACGGTATATCAATCCGAGTTGATGAGATATTCCAGTGGCCGAAGCTGAGTGACATGGCTGAGCATCTCCGTGTACAGGCCGGGTTACAATATAGGCCCAGGTTGAGACCATTTGACTTGGCACCCACACCAATTGATCCAGTCTTCAGCTCACTCTCTGACGAATATAACCTCGTCGAAGACCAGATTCAAGACATATTCCCCGCAACCCCGATACAAACTGCCATGATGGGCCTGTCCTTGCTGCAGCCAGGTGCATATATCACACAAGCCCACTATACACTGCCTACTGGTGTGGATGTCTCCCGGTTCAAGTGCGCGTGCGAGACAGTCTACAATCTTAGTGGAATTATGAGGACTCGCCTAGTTCCAGACCACGGGGCTGGCATGCTTCAAGTGGTCTACACAGAGGCTATTCGCTGGTACTCTTATTCAGATTACGCTTCATTACTCGAGGACTACCAACAGCTGCGGATGGGCCTGGGGGACCCCTTGGCCCGATTCGCAATCATTCACAATATAGCAGAGAATAGAATACAGTTGGTTCTAGCCATGCATCACGCCATCCTTGACGATTGGTCACGGGATCGCTTCCTCCATATGGTGGAAGATGAGTATCACGAAATCAAGCACAAGGATGAACGTCAAATGATCGGAATGAATGAATGGGTAAACTACCTTCAAAAACAAGACATAACCGCGGCCGAGGAATTTTGGCAGACCAAACTGCAGCATACACCTGAGCATGGGTTTCCTGTCTTGCCTGATGCCCAATACTCCCCATTATCCAATGCTCATATGCGATGGAAAATGCCCGTCAATCAGCAGTATCGTCAAACGGGCATAACCTCAGCGAGCGTTGTGCGCGCCGCCTGGGCCTTGGTAGTTGCACAGGAGTCGAAATCACCCAATGCTGTGTTCGCTGTCACCTCGAATGGTCGAGCCATGTCGTTTCCCGGCGTCGAACTCGTGGATGGCCCAACGGTGTTGACAACACCGGTGCTGATCACGGTGGGACCTGATGAATCGTTGAGTTCTCTTCTAAAACGTGTCCAGCGTCAGACGGCAGAAAGTATGCCGTTTGACCACCTAGGGATGCATAGAATCAGTAAGCTGTCACTCGCGTGTCAGCGAGCTACGCGTTGCCAGAGCATTCTGGTCATTCAGACCGCGGAGGACCCTCTCTTAAATAGTGATCTCTTCACACCAGATCATGCAGCCAAACTCACCCCTATGACATACGCCTTGACACTAAAGGTCAGGCTAGGGCATGACAGCATTGAGGTCCTTGCTCAATACGACGATCGAGTGCTCACCATCGCTGAGGTACACCGGTTACTGTCCCGCTGGGAGAGTCTGATGCAGGCCAGGAACGACACAATCACGGACATCATAGGCCTCAAAGTGGGTGTCATCGACAAGGCCACCCGCCCATCAGTCGTCCCCAGCATGTCACAAACTGAGGCGCAACAGGGAGACGCGCAAGCGTACTGGGGGCAACTATTTGCTGGCACGCTGCCAGCCAAGTTCCCATTGTTAACTGACGCCCATTATCGTCCCGTATCGACTGGAGAGTTGCGGATAAGTATCCCCATAGACTACGGCTATGCTGTTGGGGACATCCCACTTACCGCAGTACTACGCGGGGTCTGGGGTCTGCTCATGAGCCAATACAGCAACTCGTTGGACGTCATCTTTGGGATGATGCTACAGGGACAAACCGTGCCAGTGCGTCTCCAGCTAGACGAGGGAAAGCAGAGTCTACTACAGTTCTTTGACAGGGTTCAAAACGAGGCGAAGTCGACGGAGCCTTTTATGCACCTCGAGCTACAGAATATTAGTGCTTTGTCGGACCAAGCTGCGGCTGCCTCTCAGTTTCAAAGTATCTTGGCCATCATGGACGATGACCGCGACACTGGAGAGGACGGGTTGAACGGGTCTTTGGCGCAATACGCCTTGGCACTTGTCATTAGACCCAGAACCCAGCACTTTGAAATATGTGCTCGTTTCGACCCCCATGTGTTGACTCATACACAGACTCGCCGTCTCCTTGGCCAGTATACCCACGGTCTTCAGCAGTGCTGGAATGCTCAGTGGAAGCAGATGGCCGTGCAAGATATTACCTGGACAGGCTCGGAGGATATTCAAGCCATCCAGAGCTGGAATGCGAAGCAGGCGAGAGAGCCCATGGCACAGAGTATCCCCAGAAAGTTTGACGAGGTAACCGGACTCTATCGAGATATGACTGCTATTGACTCATGGGATGGTACTTTTACTTATGCGCGCCTCGATCAATATTCCACGTCGTTGGCGCACGTGCTCGTCGAAAAGGGAGTCAAGTCAGAAACCGTGGTCGCCATCTGTCTGCACAAATCAAAATGGGCTGTCGTCGCAATGATGGCAGTCCTTAAAGCCGGAGCAACCGTCATCTTTCTCGATCCCTCCCATCCCATCATTCGCTTGCAGGCTATATTGGATTTGACTCATGCCCACCTGATCCTTGCCTCTCCCCACACTAGGCAAAAGATCCGTCATGGCGACATTCCGGTCATGGATGTGATTGATTCTGTGGCTGACCCTGCGTCAGCCAACAGTCGTTGCCTACCAGATGTATCACCCTCTAACGCTGCCTTTATTGTGTCGACCTCTGGGACCACTGGAAAGCCCAAGGCAATTGTACTGGAGCACGGTGCCGTCTGTGTGTCGGCATTGTCCGTGGCCCAGACAGCCGGCATTACCCCTGGTATCCGGTTCTTCCAGTTTGCCAATTACACATTTGATGTGAGCTACGGTGATATGCTGGGAACATTGCTCTATGGAGGATGTTTGTGTATTCCATCCGAGGATGAGCGTATGGGCGACCTTGCGGGCGCTATAGTCCGCAGCCGGGCCAGCGTCATCACCCTGACGCCAACAGTCGCAACCCTTCTTCGTCCCTCGGAGGTTCCCGAGCTACGCACAATGATACTCGCCGGTGAAGCCATCACAAGTAATCTCATCGAAAGCTGGGCTAATCAAGTCAACCTAATTGTCCTGTATGGTCCGGCCGAAGCTACCATCTATTCCACAGGTCAGGCACATTTATCCCGCATTGATCCAAGTGGTATAATCGGCCGTGCCCTTGGATGCACAACGTGGGTGCTCGATGTAACTCATCGCGACGCGTGCGTGCTGGCACCGGTTGGTGCTGTCGGTGAGCTTGCTATTGAAGGCTCTATCGTGTCGCGTGGTTACCTTGAGGCCCCAGTGGAGACGCAGGCCTCTTTTGTCTCTGCTGTCAATCTCATTCCCGGCGCGCCAACATCACAGCATCGACTGTATAGGACTGGCGATCTGGTTCGCTACCTCGAAGATGGTCGGTTGCAGTTTATTGGCCGCCGTGATCAACAGGTGAAGTTTTATGGACAGCGAATTGCACCCGAAGCCATCGAATGCGAGATCCAGCGATTGCTTCCTGCCAAAGTACAGACGGCCGTGCTTGTCGTCGTACCTAAGGATCATGACCAGCCGCTTCTAGTCGCCACCATCTATATCGAGCCCGAACAGCCTGACCATGGTTCTCTAAGGGTCCTGCGTGGTAGCCAGGCTCCCAAAGAGCTGGCGACTCTTATCCCTGGGATGGCCGATCAACTGCGGGCAACCCTTCCTTCACACATGGTCCCTAGCGTCTTCCTGCCCATATCGCACATTCCCTTGACGGGTTCTGGTAAGATGGACTATACCACGCTGCGGACATGTTGTCAAGATCTGAAACGAGGCGAACTGATGGCGGTTTGGCCCCCTACTTCACCCAGGCAATCAGATGCAATCCCGGAGCAACGTCTCCTTGCGACAGCTTGGGCTGAAGTCCTGGGCTGCGATGAGGAGACATTAGATGCCAACAGCGACTTTGTCAAACTTGGCGGGAATTCCCTACATGCTATCCTCTTGGTCACAGCCATGGGCATCCGTGGGTTTCGGCTAAGCGTCAAGCAAATATTTGCGCACCCGCAGCTCGCTAGTATGGCCTCTTTGGTAACTAAGCGCGATGCCAAAAAGGACAGGGCCAAGCCGAAAGTCATCAAACCGTTGTCTATGTGCCCGATTGACATCGAGACGGTGAGGAAGGCCTTGGAAGAGCAGAGCGGAAAGCCCGCGGGGATCATAGAGGATGTCTACCCATGTAGCCCCTTACAGGCCGGCCTGATGGCGTTGTCTCTGACAGAACCTCGGTCCTATTTGGCTCAGTTCACTTACAAACCGCCTATTGGTACCAGTATCACACAGTTTTGCGCGGCTTGGGAGACCGTATTCCAGCGTAGCCCCATGCTGCACACTCATATCGTTTTACTTGAGGAAATGCTGCAGGTTGTTGTGAAAGACCAAATCTCGTGGCAGATAATTGACGATCTCGACCAGTATCTGGCCGCAGATTTAGACTCACCGACTGGTCTGGGACAGCCGCTGGTACGATTTGCACTGAAAGGAGATGCAGTTGTGTTTACTATCCATCATGCTCTTTACGATGGATGGTCGTTGGCCGCGCTGTTGGACGATGTGAGTAAGGTATCCCGCGGTCTGGATGCGAACCCACGTATCCCCTATAATGTCTTCATCCACCATCTGCGGGCAATGGACCGCGCCGCCGCAATCAAGTTCTGGTCGGAGCGCTTAGAAAAGGCTCCAGCGCCGGCTTTTCCCGTGCTCCCTTCGCCGGGTTATCGTCCCTACGCGGACAAGAGATATGAGCTAACAACGAAGCTGCCACCACGAGAATCATCACATATAACGCAGGCAACTGTTTTTCGCACTGCCTGGGCGCTCGTGATGGCTCGGTACGCCTCCATGACCGACGTGGTCTTCGGAAGTACTTTGAGCGGCCGGACACTGCCTATTCGCGGCATTGAAAATATCGATGGGCCTACTATTGCCACGGTACCCGTACGAGTGACTTTCAAAACGGACCAGACAGTCCACAGTCTTCTTGAAGCAGTGCAGCAGGACAGAATAGAGACAATACCCTTTGAGCAATTAGGACTGCAAAACATCAAGAAAGTGTCCGAAACAGCCCGCCAGGCATGCGATTTTCAGAGCATGCTGGTCATTCAGAACTACAACCCTGCCAATGAGTCATCTGATGCATCTGAGGCATCTTCCCTGGAACTCCAGCGTGCGCGTGTTCACTTGTCACACCTGCTTACTGTGGATGTTACCCCAATGGGCACCGAGGTCGAGTTTCTTGCCCGCTTCGATGGCGAGGTGTTGGATATGCAACAGGTGCGGCGTTTATTATATCAGACGCATCATGTTATTGTACAGCTGTGGAATGTGGATCCCAGAGCCACGGTTAAGGATATCGAAATTTTATCTCCTGAAGACCGCCAGGACATTGTGCGGTGGAATGACTATCCTGTTGACGCCATAGAGTCTGATCTACCGACACTAATTGCTCAACGGACGTCTACACAGCCCACCTCCCCCGCGGTCCGGGCTTGGGATGGCGAGCTAACCTATCGCGAACTGCACCAGCTCTCAGCTAACCTAGCAGGCCATCTAAGAGACCTTGGGGTCCGAAAAGGCCAACCAATACCATTGTGCTTTGAGAAATCGGCCTGGACAGTTGTCGCGATGCTGGGAATACTCAAGGTAGGGGCTACCGTGGTACCCCTGGATGCCAACCACCCAGTCGGCCGGATTGTCACTATTGTGCAGGCGGTCAAGGCAAGCTTGATGGTAGCATCTGCACTCCAGGCACCACGGTTCCAGGATCAGGACTGGGACATGGTGACGCTTTCGCCTGCAACGATTCAGGCTTTCGAGTTTCCAGTTGAGCCTTTACCTGCCATTTCGCCCAGCGATGTGGCACTCATCATGTTCACCTCGGGGTCAACTGGTGTCCCTAAAGGTATTCTTATGGACCATGTTTGCTTGTGCTCCAGCATCATCACACATTCCTCCATCCTCAGCATCCCGCCTCACATTAATGTCTTGCAGTATTCCGCCTACACTTTTGACCACAGCATCTTCGAGATCTACACTACTCTGGTAACTGGGGGATGCGTCTGCGTGCTCTCCGATGATGAACGGATGAATAGCCTGGTGGACAGCATGCGCCGCATGGAGATCGACTGGGTTTACTTCACCCCATCTATCGCCAAGCTTATTCACGTAGACGATGTCCCGACGCTATCCACACTCTACGTCGGTGGTGAACCTGTTCCACGCTCACTCATTGACGAATGGGCGACAGCCAAAACCATGATCAATGCCTATGGCCCTGCTGAGTGTTCAATGGTGTCTTCGTGCGTTTTGGCACCGACCTCACCGGTGGGCACTATCGGCCGACCCCAAGCTGGCCGCACCTGGATCGTTGAACCCGACGACTACAACCGCCTCGCACCAGTCGGCGTGATGGGCGAGATGGTATATGAAGGGCCCATGGTGGCCCGGGGCTACCTAAATGATACTCCATCCAGCGGCTTCATTAATCGACCCAAGTGGGCATCTCCCGACACGCCCTTCCGATTTTATCGGACCGGTGACTTGGGCCGGTATGAGTCTGACGGAAGTCTTGTATTTGGGGGACGTAAGGATACTCAGATCAAGCTCCGTGGCCAGCGCGTGGAGCCGGGAGAAGTCGAGTCTCAGATCCAAAAACTATTGCCCGACATTGCTCTTGCGGTGGAGGTCGTAGTCACTGCCGATGGTGATGGAACACCGTCGCTGGCTGCCTTCCTCGTAGTAGTGGATGATGACTTTGGAGTTTCTCAGGAGCCAATGGATCTGATTGACGTCTCACAAGAAGCCAAGCGCCGAATTAGCAGTCTGATCGCCGGGCTCGAGGAAGCGCTGCTCCGAACTCTACCAGAGTATATGGTTCCAACAGTCTATCTACCCCTGCGTATGCTGCCGTTGACAACTTCTGGCAAAGTTGATCGAAAGATCCTTCGGCAGTTAGGCAAGCAACTAACAGTCGCTCGCTTGGCAGCTTTGACCACGGCAGCTGAATATAGTCCGCCCCTGACTGATGCTGAGGTCACTCTGCAGGACCTCTGGTCGGCTGTGTTGAACATAGACAAGACAACCATCAGCGCGGAAAACAGCTTTCTTCGACTCGGAGGAGACTCCATCACAGCTATCCGACTTGTCCGGGCCACTCGCGAAGCTGGCTTTCGACTTGATGTTGAGCAAGTCTTCCATTACCCAATACTGCATGAGATGGCCAGCAATATGCGTCCATTAAATCTCGATGATGAGAGGTCAGCACCGCCTGTGGCTCCATTCTCCTTGTTGAGCGGCCCTATCGACACTTTGGTAAGGCAAGTCGCCCTCCAGTGCAACGTAGAGCCCAGCTCTATCGAAGATATATACCCATGCACCGCCATGCAGAGTGGGCTTATGTTTCTGTCCGCTCGCGAACCAGGCACGTACATTGCGCAGACTACATACTGTCTCAACCAGCCATTCTCCAAGTTCCGAGCGGCATGGTTGGCTCTGGTTGCTTTAACTCCTTTGCTCCGCACCTGCATTGTTCAGCACGAGTCTGATCATCTACAAGTCGTGCTCAAAGACGCACCCGCTATCAACACAGTGCAGAAGATAGATGCGTCGTTTCTGGAGACTGAGAGACAGCAGCTCACCAAGGGTCGGGTGCTGTCTCGTCTGGCATTGTGTGAATCACCTGATGGTACCACTCGGGCCGTCTTCACACTACACCACGCCGTGTATGATGGCTGGTCACAAGCCCTGTTGATCGATCGCCTACAAAACCTTCTCAAAGGGCGTCCAATTGCCCCATCGCCATCCTTTACACGCTTTATTTCTCACATCCAAACCGCATCGGCATCGGACGAAGAGTTCTTCTGGAAGACACAGCTCGCAGATGCGGTGCCAGTCTCATTCCCACAATTGCCAACAATTGGGTACCGTCCGAGGCCGATGACAGTTCTCGACTATCATATTGTACAAAAACGGATTCTAGCCTCGGATTTCACCGAGTCTACAAGGATCCGCGCGGCGTGGGCTCTGCTTGTCTCACGGTACCTTGATCAGCGGCACGTCACGATCGGCGTCACTGTCAACGGGCGAGGTGCTAGCGTCCCTGGTATTGATCGGATCTTGGGACCAATGCTTACTACCGTGCCTGTGACGATCGACACCAGTCGAACTACTCAAGTTTCCGAGTACTTATCAGCTATCCAAAGGCAGGCGGTAGAGATGCAGGCATACGAGCAGTACGGACTGCAGCATATCGCCGCCATCAACGACAAGATACGGGCCGTCTGCGACTTCCATAGTCTCTTGGTGATCCATTATAAGGGGTGGTCAGCGCCCGGGGATCAGGCACAACCCTTCTGGATACCTGAACGGGACTGCATTAAGCGTCCATTCCATGCCTTTGCGCTGAGTATAGAGTGTACTGTACAGAGGGATGGAGTCGCCGTCCACGCCACCTACGACGATGGGGTGATTGATCCTCGCGCTATGAAGCGAATCGTCTATCAGTTTGAGCATATCCTGCAACAGCTGGGTACTCCTGATGTGTTGTTATCCGCTCTGGATGACATTGAACTTATTAGTCCCGCTGACCAGGCCGAGTTAGCTGTCTGGAATGCTGTCGTGCCGGCTCCAACTATGGCTTGTATCCATCACTTGGTTGAGGACCAGATAAAGCAGCGGCCCGAAGCGCCTGCCGTCGCCTCATGGGAGGGAGGCTTTACCTTCCGACAGTTGGACACCTTTGCCTCGTCACTGGCCGAACATCTACGAGAGACAAGCGATATAGGCCCCGGAGTCCTAGTACCCCTCCTCTTCGAGAAGTCCATCTATACCGTGGTGACTATGCTGGCGGTGCTCAAGGCTGGCGGTGCCTGTGCAGCTCTGGATCCAGCCCATCCAACAGAGCGGCTGCGTGGTATTCTGGAAGATGTCCAAGCCACCGTAGTACTGGCCAGTACTTCTAACCTTGCCAAAGCGGTAGAACTACGACTTCCAGTAATTGCCGTCGACCAAGTCCTGTTGGATAATCTGGTCACCACCCCTTTGAAGCTCTCGCCAAGCACAGTGGGACCCGAAGATCCTGCTATTATTCTTTTTACCTCAGGTAGTACTGGCAAGCCAAAGGGTATCGTTATCGATCATCGTGCCTTTGCTAGCAGCATCCGCGGCCACAGCGAGACTCTGCGTTATCGGGCTGGATCTCGTAATCTTCAGTTCACCGCGTATACATCGGATGTTAGCTATGGTGAAATTTTCAGCTCGCTCTCTGCGGGTGCTTGTGTATGCATTCCGTCTGAAGATGAACGCGTAAATGGTCTCGCTGGTGCTATGGAGCGACTGCGCGTTGACTGGGCCTTTCTGACACCAAGTGTTGCCTCGATATTGGACCCGCAGACAGTACCGACACTACGGACGCTTGTGTTTGGCGGAGAGACGGCCACCGCTAAGAACATCCAGACATGGGCTGATGCTGTTTATCTAATTAATAGTTTTGGTCCAGCAGAGTGCTCGATATGGAACTGCTGTAACCCGGGCATTAGCACACGCGATATTGGCTCCAATATCGGCAAAGGGCTCGGCTGCGCACAATGGATCGTCGACCCCAACGATGATACTCGCCTCGCTCCTATTGGCACAGTAGGAGAGTTGGTCGTGGAAGGGCCTAATGTTGCCAAGGGTTATCTCCACCTCCCTGAGAAGACTAAGGCGGTTTTTATCCCAAGCCCTCCATGGGTGCCCGAAAGTCGCCGGTCGACAAGTCGGCTATATAAAACCGGCGATCTGGCAACATTCATGCCTGATGGAAATGTCCATTTCCTCGGCCGCCGTGATGCACAGGTCAAGCTACATGGCCAGCGTCTAGAGCTGGGAGAAGTCGAACACCAGTTGCGTCAATATCTTCCCAGCAACCTACCCGAAGTAGCCGCCGAGATGGTCTGCCCAGCCGGCGGAGCACAACTTCTAGCAGCTTTTGTCAATATCCGGCCAGTTCTGACCGATGAGTCGACCGGAGATTCGGACCTGGCAATGTCTGATGCCGCGATCGACTGGCTTGGGAGGCATTTCCCGGGCTTAGAGGACGCATTGGCGGAACGATTGCCGCGATTCATGATTCCTTCGCTGATTGTGCCTCTGACTCGAATGCCTTTGTCTGGTTCAGCTAAAACCGATCGCGGGCGTCTGAGACAGATTGTTCGGGAAATGACTAGGGAGCAGATCGCTCGCCTCCATGCCTGCCGTATAACCAGGCGCATTGCTCCAACGACAGACCGCGAACGGCGGCTACAGCAGCTGTGGGCCAAGGTACTGGATCTAGAACCGACAAGTATTGGCCGATCAGATCAGTTCTTTCATCTCGGGGGTAACTCTATCCGCGCTATACTACTTGTTACTCTAGCTCGCAAGGAAGGCTTCAGCCTTTCCGTCCAGGTTATCTTCGACCATGCGAAGCTTAGCGCTATGGCAGCAGCTATGAATGAGTTTGATATAAGGTCTATGGAGCCTGTACGCCCGTTTTCTCTATTATCGTCGACAGATGATCTCAATGGTTTGGGAGACGATGCTGCTCAGCAATGCGGCGTTTCTAAACATGAAGTTGTTGACCTGTATCCATGCACTTCCTTGCAGGCTGGTCTGATGGCACAGTCACTCAAACAGCCGGGTACATATATAGGACACTTCGTCCGTCAGATACCAGAAACCGTTGACATCAACCGGTTTCGTGCTGCTTGGATAACAATGGCCCGCCAGGAGATACTCATGCGCACGCGGATAATCCAGTCGGCTGTCGGACTATTACAAGCGGTTGTCAGCAGTGATATCGATCCCGCCTGGCATTCGTTGCTGACAATTGAAGATTTCACACAAAAGACATCAGTCATGGAGCTGGGCCAGCCACTTGTCCACTTTGGCGTTATTGAATCGGAGAGGGTCTTTCTGCTAACACTGCATCATGCCGTCTATGATGCGTGGACTCTAGACCTACTATTTGAAGGTGTTCACGCTATTTACGAACGCGGACAAGGATCGGAAAATCCTACAGACTTCCGTCACTTTGTCCAGCATATGCAGAGTCAAAGCCAGGAGGAAGCTCGGAATTTCTGGACCGAACAACTCGCTAGTACTCCGCTACCGTCGTTCCCTCGCCTGCCGTCAGCTCGCTACATCCCTTCTACGGACTCAATACTTACTTGTGACGTTTCTCTGCCGTCCTCAAGGAGCTCGAGGATCCTAGCCTCTACTGTCATCACTGCTAGCTGGGCCGCTGTGGTTGCTAGGCACTCCGATGTCACCAACGATGCTATCTTCGGCGTGACCTATAGCGGCAGGAGTGCTCCCGTAGCTGCTATCGAGCGAATAATGGGGCCAACCATTGCTACTGTACCCTTTCGGGTGCAAATAGACGAAGACCAACTTGTGGAGAGCTTCTTGTCTGATATTCAGCGGCAAGCCACTGCCATCCGCAAATTTGAGCAGTATGGACTGCCAAACATCAGGGGAATCAGCGAGCAGGCGGTCGATTTCCAGTCATTGCTAGTTATTCAGGCCGCAGCCGACGTGCCGTCCGAGGCCTGGCTACCACCCGTCCAGAGGGACCGTGGGCAACAGACATTCCACAACTTTGCGCTAAGCGTGGAATGCACTATGAGCGGTTCTCAGATTTACGTTGTGTGTAACTACGACTCCAATGTTATTCCGGAGCGACAGCTACGCCGTCTCATGAATCAATTCATGCACGTCATTCAGCAGCTGGCCGTTCCTCAAGCAAACCAGCGGCTGCACGAGATCCAAGTGGCAAGCCCTGAGGACCTGGCTGAGATTGAGCAGTGGAATTTCGATATATCTGAGCATGACAACCGCCTCGTCCATCATGTGGTACATGAAACAGCTAGCAAACAACCCACAGCACCCGCCATTGTATCGTGGGACCGCAACTTTACCTACAAGCAGCTCAATGAGACGGCTGGGTCACTGGCTAACGCTCTGGTGGCCAGTGGTGTCACTGTAGGCCAACGGGTACCGTTTCTGTTCGAAAAGGGCTCTTGGGCTATCGTTGCCATGCTGGCCATCCTTAAGGCCGGCGCAGCCTGTGTTGCTCTTGACCCTGAGCAGCCTTTTGCTCATATCCGCGATATAATCTCCCAAGTTAGGGCGAAGACTTTGCTTACTAGTGACATTCAATACAATGTTGCTGAGAATCTTGAAGATAATGGTTCCTTGAACATAATCCCTGTTGGACCCGTTCATCGGACCAGTTGGGAGGCATTTCCATGTGTCTCACACTGCGAAGCCACGCCTCAAGATGGAGCATTCGTCCTGTTCAACTCTGACAGCACCGGGACGCCACAAGGTACCATCATCCATCATGCAGCCTTTTGCAGCAGTATCCGTGGTCATGGCGAGGTGCTGCGCTTCTATCGTGGACCGGGGTCTCGAAACCTCCAGTTCGCAGCATATACATCTTATGTGAGCATTGGGGAGATATTCACCTCACTCGCACTTGGGGCGTGTATATGTGTGCCTTCAGATGAGGAGCGTACACAAAACTTAGTAGGCGCTATAGAACGAATGACGGTTGACTGGGCTTTCCTGACACCTAGCATCGCATCTATCCTGTTGCCAGCTGCTGTGCCAACAATACGCACTTTGGTCCTTGGCGGAGAGGTGCCATCTAGAAAGGTCATTGAGGATTGGGCGGATTCTGTCTATTTAATTAACAGCTTTGGGTATGTTGAGTCCTCTGTCTGGACTCACTGTGCCCCAGGAGTCCCGACTAGTCACGACGGGTCCAATATAGGACATCAGATGCACTGTCGAACCTGGATTACAGATCCGGGAGACTCGCGTCGCATGGCTCCAATCGGCGCCATTGGCGAGATGCTCATCGAAGGTCCGAATATCGCACAAGGCTATCTCGACCAAGATGCAACCGAGGCCCATTTCATTACTATCAACCAGTCAGGTAAGGCGAAGCGCGTGCTCTACAGAACCGGCGATCTTGCCCGCTACCTCCCAGATGGCTCGGTGCAGTTCCTGGGCCAGCGGGATATGCAGGCTAAAATACGCGGCCAGCGCATCGACCTAGCTGAGACCGAACAAGAGTTGCGCAAGCAACTCCCTGTCCTGCGTGAGATTGCCGTTATGATGGTCCGACTGGGCAGTGAGGAATCGCCTCTGACTCTGGCCACCTTCTTTAATATCTCCTCTTATATGGGATTCCCAGCGTCGACAAACCAGATATCTTCCACAAAGGCTGTCGTGGCTAACAGTCCTGCGGCTCGACAATCCACAGCGATCCTGCTTGAGGGGCTCACAGAGAGGCTGGCACACGTTTTACCGGCGTATATGATTCCTTCGGTGTATATTCCAGTATGGGCAATGCCTCTATCTTCGTCAGCCAAGATTGATCGAAGACACCTGCAGACATTGGCCCTGAAACTGTCTGCCGAGGAGGTTGCCTCGTTCGCCCTTATTCCCTCAGCTAAATGTAGTCAGGCGCTATCGACACCCCGCGAGAAGCTGCTGGCCCGCTTGTGGGTGGACGTCCTTGGCATCGATAGTGTCTCAGCCGACGATCATTTTGTCAGTCGTGGCGGCGACTCTCTGACTGCCATGCGGCTGGTTCGGGATGCCCAGAGAAACGGATTGACGCTGTCAGTAGCCACTATATTCCAGTATCCCATCCTTAGTGATATGGCAGTCGCCACTGAGGACCTGGCTCCGGAAAATGGCACATCTGCTAACATGTTGTTGGACCATGATGTCCCGCCTCCTTTTTCCCTGGTTCCTCCAGAGACCAAGGATGTGTCCAAGTTAGTAGCAGAGGTCGCGAAACTTTTGCAGGTGGATGATGTAACTATCCAAGATGTGCTGCCATGCTCTCCGTTACAAGAGGGCCTGGTTGCTTTGTCTTTGCAACGACCTGGAAGCTACATGGCGCAGTTTGTATATTATGTCCCTGCCACAATCGACTCAGCACGTCTCCAGGACGCCTGGCAGGTAGTGATCAACTCTAGTAACATTCTACGCACCCGCATAATTCACTTGGTCAGCTCAACTCGCATGATGCAAGTTGTCCTGAAACCCAAGGCTGTTGCTTGGGAGCAGGCGTCGGACCTGGATGCTTATCTTGCCAAGAACCAGCACAAAGCTATGGGAATGGGGGACCCTCTTGTCCGGATCGCTCTAATATCCAAATCTGACAAATCCAACCTTGTGCTCACTATGCATCATGCAATCTACGACGAGCAGTCCCTACAGCTCCTGTGGGCATCAGTCAAGAGCGCCTACCGCGGACTCGTCCTGCCTCGCCGTCTTCCCTTCTCATGCTTTATCCGTCACATTCAAGATAGAGATACAGATACGGGATCAGCCGCGGCCTTTTGGAAGGCACAATTGAACGGCGCTCCAGCTCCCTCGTTCCCAACTCTCCCTACCACGGCAACTATCTTCCATGCCCGTCCAGATAAGCAACTTCAGGCGACCATGTCACTCACCCGCCTAAACAACACTCACATCACTGCGGCTGGACTTATCCGTGCCGCCTATGCACTATGGCTCTCGCTCCACACGGCCAGTGACGATGTCGTTTTTGGAACCACCATGAGCGGGCGTACAGCCCCACTGCCCGGTATTGATGTCATTGACGGCCCGACCATTGCGACCGTTCCCGTGCGGGTGCTTTGTAGCCGAGATCAAACAGTAGGCGACTATTTACAGCAAGTTCAGCGGCAGGCCGCCGATATGCTCTCTTTTGAGCAGACGGGTCTACAGAATATCGGACTCATTAACGACAGCGCGCAGACGGCGTGTAATTTCCGTACACTCCTCGTCATCCAAGCGGTGCCGGACTCCGAAGCATCCAGGGTGACAAAGCCGGAGGCCGAACTGGACTGCCCACTTCTCCCTGGTGGCACTGTTAACGCGGTATTCCACACTCTTCCGCTTATTCTTGGGTGCTCACTACTGCCAGACGGCCGAGTCCGTCTCGAGCTGCTTTACGATTCACGCGTTCTGAGCCCTATCGACTCAAAACGAATGCTACATCAATTCCAGCACCTTCTCCTGCAGCTGGCCAACTCCCAGCCTGACCTAGCTCTGGGCGAGGTAGCTGCTCTTCCTCCAAGTGAGGTTGCAATGGTTCGCCAGTGGAACAGTCACCCTCTATCCGCACTGCCAGCCTGTTTATATACGAAGTTGGCCAAGATCGCCCAGAGACAGCCTGGCCGCCAAGCAGTAACGGCATATGATGGCCAATATACCTATTGCGAGCTACTCGGCCAAGCATCTCTCGTAGCCCGTCGTCTGATTGAAGCTGGCATTGATGCCGGAACATTAGTGCCTATTTGCTTTGAACGCTCATCATGGTCGATAGTGGCAATGCTCGGTGTGTGGATGGCGGGTGCTGCCTTTGTTCCTCTGGATCCTTTGCAGCCAGCCAGTCGTCTCGAGGATATTATTACACAGTCAGCAGCTCCGCTTGCCCTTGTTAGCGCTACTTCACGGGTTATCATTGAACCTTTATTACCTGTGTTGGAGCTCTCTGCCGTTGCGTTGAATGGGGAGCAGACACTTGCATCTGCAAAGAACCCTGAACTGCGACCTGCTAACCCTCTCGCCCCAGCCTACGTTCTATTTACATCTGGTAGCACCGGGCGGGCCAAGGGGGTCGTCATCGACCATCAGACACTGTACACCAGTCTTGAAGGCCACCTAGAGCCGCTACAGCTGGGTCCAGACACACGCTTTCTGCAGTTTGCCACGTACACGTTTGACATTTCTATCGCTGAGATATTCGACGCTCTTCTTGCTGGAGGGTGCGTATGTGTGCCTTCGCCTGATATTAAGCTTATAGGCGAGGCAATGGAGGCGATGCAAGTAAATACAGCTTGCTTTACACCGTCGGTTATACAGCATCTCCGCCCAGAAGAGGTGCCTAGCCTGCGAACTTTGATCCTTGGTGGCGAGGCAATTCGCCCAGAACATGTCGACACTTGGGCCAGTCATGTGACACTCTTTAACGGATACGGGCTTACCGAGACATGTATCCTAGCTACTCTGCAACGTATCACATCACGGGCTTCTGCGGCTACAAAGACCACCACATGCAACAGTAGCATCGGTACCGCTGTTGGATGCCATGCGTGGATTGTCAACCCAGATAATCATCACCAACTGCTACCGCTAGGTGCCATCGGCGAGCTCCTCGTCAGCGGTCCTATTCTGGCGCGTGAGTACCTTAATGACCCTAGTCGCACCGCTGTTGCCTTTGTCTCTGTGCCAGAGCTTGGGTCTGGGCGCTTTTTGAAGACCGGCGATCTTGTTCAATATGGCCCCGAGGGCTCGATCCGGTACATCGGCCGCAAAGATAATGTCATCAAGCTGCGTGGACAGCGAATCGACCTTGGCGAGGTCGAATTCCGGGTGAAGGAAGCATTTTCGAATGTATCCAGCTTGGCCGTTGTGCTGGCTAAGCGCCGTGACACGCCGTCATTGGCAGTGTTCTTCTGCCCCAGAGTACCAGGGGAAGAGGCAACCACTGAAAGGAACATCACACTAGGCACTCTAACCCCTGAGCAGATTGTCGACTGCCAGTCTGCACAAGCTACTGTAGCTCGCTACTTACCCTCCGTTATGGTGCCATCCCTATGGATTCCTGTCAACAATATGCCGCTCACGGGGGCAGGGAAGCTGTTTAGTAGGCATCTGCAGCAAATGCTGGACAATGCATCTGAAGATCTCCATCATCACTACGCCCTCGCTCACATCAAACATACAGAAGGTCTGAATCCTACAACTCCGATAGAGCAGTCACTACAGGTCATATGGGCGGAGACTCTGGGCCTAGATCGAGCCAGAATCGGTCCAAACGACTCGTTCTTCCGCCTAGGAGGAGACTCACTATCTGCTATCCGACTCGTCGCCATAGCCGAAGCCAGAGGCTTAAATTTAAGTGTTCAAGGAGCTTTTAACAACCCGACACTTGTTGAAATGGCACAGATTACTAGCTATCGAGGTGATGTTAGTGTGGAAGACGAAGTTGCGCCGTTCTCGCTTATACCTTCTCCGACAGAGGCACTCAGAGAAGCATGCCGCCAGTGCGGCGTGGCTGAAGATGAGATTATTGATATATATCCCTCAACACATCTTCAAGATGGCCTTATGGTCCTATCTATCAAGCAACCCGGCACATACATTGCAAGCTTCGCGTTCACCCTCCCGGACTCTCTAGACTTGTCGCGGTACCGCGCCAGTTGGAACAAAGTCGTCGCACAGCTTCCCATTCTGCGAACACGCATAGCTTACACTACAGACAGTGGGTTCCAGCAGGTCGTCTTGAGCACCGAGATGCGCTGGACGGAATACAAAACGGATACTCTGCAGAGCGCCTTGACTAGCGAACGAAATATGATGAGGACCTCCATCGGGCAGCCACTAAGTCAATATGCTATAATCCGAAACCCGGGTGGGGAACGCGTCTTTGTCTGGACTGCCCATCACTCCATCTATGATGGGCGGACAGTAGCCGAAGTCATTGCTTTAGTTGAACAGACCTATTTTGACTTGGCCAACGATACCACGGCCAAATCTTTGCCAGATGGCGCTGTGCCCGCCGTGCCATTCAATCGATTTATCCGATATCTTGGCGAGCAAAACTCAGATCAAGTAGCTGAGTACTGGCGGGAGCACCTCGCCGGCGTTCCCTCGCCGACATTCCCGGCGCTGCCCGCGATCGATTACCAACCAGTAGCCAACGCCGCTGTAGACCATCTTATAATCCTAGGGTCGTCACAGCGGGTATCAGAGGGAAACGTCACCATGGCCACCAAGCTCCGAGCAACCTGGGGTCTACTGCTAAGCCTATATGAGAATTCCCATGATGTCAGCTTCGGCACTACACTTAGCGGTCGCAACTCAGGTATCACTGGCATTAATTCTATTATGGGTCCTACCATAGCCACAGTTCCCATTCGCATCCAAGTGCCCGATCTTACATTACCTATTGGGCGGTGGCTTGAGACAGTCCAGCAACAAGCGGTCGAGATGATCCCCTTTGAACAGGTTGGCCTACAGACAATCCGCAAGTTGCATAATGACGCCCGCACTGCTGTAGATTTCCGGACCTTGTTTCTTGTGCAGAACATGCGCTTCGGCAATACTGAACATCAGAGCCGCCTAGGGCTGGAGCAACTGGCTGGTCAGTCGGGCTCTTTCTATACCTATCCACTTGTCGTCACCTGCACGCTACACCAAGACGGCAACGTACTCATAGCAGCAAGCTATGACGATAGCTTGTTGGAAAGCCGTTGTGTTGAGCGCCTTGTTGACCAGTTCTCCAATATCTTGCGCCAGCTCCACCAGGCACCTTTTCAGTCACCGTTATCAGAGCTCAACATGCTGCCTGAGTTTGACGCACAGCAGATTTCTCTGTGGAATTCCACTTTGATTCCCGTTGTGGATGGCCTCGTTCACCAGGAAATCCACAGTATGGTCCAACGCCAGCCCGAGCGACCCGCTGTTACTGCTTGGGATGGAAGCCTGAGTTACGCTGAGTTGGAGTCAGAGGCGATGTGTTTCGCTACATATCTGAACCAGAGATATGACATTGGCCCTGAAGACAAGGTACCCTTTTGTTTTGACAAGTCTAGGTGGGCAGTTGTTGCTATGCTTGGTATCCTTCAAGCCGGCGGCGTCGTCGTTGCCCTTGATCCCTCTCATCCTTCAAAGCATCACAGCCAGATTCTGAGTCAAGTCAAGCCCAAAGCCATTGTCACCACACCAGCTCATGCCGCGTTATTCCAAAACCACAGACTCATTATCCTATCCCACAATGGTTATGGGCTGCAAATTATGCCACCAATGAATACGGCCACCGTGAGGAGTGGCAATACCGAAAGGGTTCGAACCGACAACGCTGCTTTCATCGTCTTCACGTCTGGTACTACTGGGACCCCTAAGGGCATTGTCCTCGAACACCGAGCAGTGTGTACCTCAGCCCGTGCCCATGGCCAGCTCTTGAAGGTTACCCCAACTTCACGGGTGCTTCAATTCGCTGCTCATGTCTTTGATGTCATGGTCTCCGATATCTTTACCACGCTGATTCATGGTGGTTGTGTCTGCATCCCCTCGGAGCATGACCGACTGAACAATCTCGTCGGGGCCATTAAGTCCCTAAATGCTACCCAAGCCTATCTAACCACCACTGTGGCATCTCAATTACATCCAGACCAGGTCCCGGGTCTCGAGGTGCTCTCCGTTGGTGGTGAACGCGTCACTGAGCATGTCGTACGCACCTGGGTAGCCCGCACCTACTTGATCAACATGTATGGCCCAGCCGAGTGCACCATCTGGTGCGCGGGCACACATGTCTTTGGGGCTGATGCACAGCCCAGTGATTTTGGACACGGCATTGGCGCCCGCCTCTGGCTGGTTAACCCGGCTGACCATCGCCTTCTTGTTCCTATTGGTACTGTTGGGGAGATTCTTGTTGATGGGCCTATCCTGGCACGTGGATATCTTGATATGCCTGATCAGACTACCTCCAGTTTCATCCAAGATGCCCCCTGGCTGCGTCATGGCCGCCGAGCGTACAAGACTGGCGATCTTGGCCGATACACCGCCGACGGCACAATAGAATATCTCGCCCGCCAGGACGGGCAGATCAAGCTCTACGGCCAGCGTATAGAGCTTGATGCCATAGGGCACCACCTACGTGCCTGTCTCCCTAACGACTATCCCGTGGCCGTCGAGGTACTCTCGTTGTACGGTAACCCAGTTCTTGTGGGATTTGTGGCCTTGAGTCAGTCAGCGGGCCCGGTACGGATTCTTCGGAATCCAGATTCCGTGAGCAAGTTGAATCAACTTCTTTCCACCATCTCTGATGATCTTGCCGCAAAGTTGCCGCATTCTATGGTCCCACATATCTTCCTCCCCATTAGCAACATCCCCCTGACCCTCGCCGGTAAGATCAATCGGCGAGCCCTGCAGGCGCTGGGCAGCGAGCTGTCAGCTGATGACGTGCACTCTCTGAGCCCTCAGTGGGCGGCCAAACAACCCCCGGCCACGACCACAGAAAAGACTTTGCAGGGTCTATGGGCATCCATTCTTCCGCTCGAGCTTGAGTCTATCGGCCGTAATGACAGTTTCCTGCGACTCGGTGGTGACTCGATGGCGGCCATGCGTCTAGTCGCAGCGGCTCGAGAGTTGAGCTTATACCTCACCGTTGCCGATGTGTTTGATCGCCCCATCTTATTCGAAATGGCACAGACTATCATCCCTGTGAATGATACCGAGAGCCAGCATCTGCCACCTTTTGCCCTGGCGCCGACTGGAGATGATCTTGACACCCTCCGCAATGAGCTTGCACAGCTATGCCAGGTGCCTTCGAGTCGAGTCCAAAACATCTACCCGTGCACGCCGCTGCAACGTACCTACATTGAGCTTTCCACTTGCAGCCCTGGCATCACCACGCTGCAGAATACCTATATAATACCGCCGTCAGTCGATATAGACCGACTTCGTCGAGCTTGGGAACAAGTCGTGGCCGCCAACTCTTTGCTCCGCACTCGCATCGTCTACGATCCTAAAGCTACTACCGTATGGCAGGTAGTTCTGGATGAACTGCCGACTTGGCGCACATCCTCCAGTCTGGAAGCTTATTATGCACAAGAAGTGGCTGAGCCTATGGGTTCCGGCTGCCCACTTAGTCGCTGTGCCATCATAGACGGACATTATTTTGTCTGGACATGCAACCACGCTATCTACGATGCCTGGTCTGTAGGTCTAGTAATGGGTCAACTCGAGCAGGCATATCAAGGGCTGGCACTTAGTCCTGAGGCACCTTTTGCACACTTCATCAAGCATCTACTGGCAGTAGACCGAACGGCAGCAGACGTCTTCTGGCAGAAAACACTAGACAACTGCCAGGCTCAACCCTTGTGTCAACAAAGTTCCACTCAGGTAGACTCACTCTTAGTACTAGAGATGGCGCTGCCAATGCGCTCTCACGCCACGGAGATCACAATGTCAACTATCACTCAGGTAGCGTGGGCTATTGTGTTAGCGCGCGAGACTGCCAGGCGCGATGTTGTGCTCGGCCTCACGGTCACCGGCCGCGACACACCCATCGCAGGCATCGAACGCATGACAGGGCCAACCATCGCTACCATCCCGCTACGAATAACTGTTCACGAAGAACAGTCGTTAGCTGATCTCTTACGAGCAACCCAAACACTGACGAAAGCGGCCATTCCATTCCAGCATGTAGGGATGCCGCACATTCGCAACATCAGTAGAGAGACTGCGCAGGCGTGCGATGCCACAGTCCCAATCGTCATCAACGCAAGCAACCATCACAAGGAGGCTTTGGGTTCAGCAATCGGCCTTGAACGGTCGCAGCGCACGCCCTTGGCTGAAAGTCCGTTGCCCTTCTTTATTGACTGCTCGGCGAGTAAGGACACTCTGGATGTGTATACCACCTTTGACAGCCGCGTTTTCCCTCGCGCTCGTGTGCAGAACATGCTATCTCGGTTTAGATATGTATTATGTCAGTTATGCGTCGATCCTGCTGGGAAGACTGTTGGCGATCTTCGCATGGAGGACAGTACGGGGCACAATTCCAAGTCGACAATTGCTTGCTATGAGACTCATTCAGGGATGAGCTTTGATGCTCGGACTAAGACGTCGGTTTCAATGGTGAAAGGAAGTGAGTAGATAGATTCCCTAGATAGCCTTTTATGTATTGAACCAGTTCTTCATCTATTACCTTGACTTCCTCAGCGCAAGCCTTGCGCCGTAAAAGCCTCGGTACCAGATATATTGCTACAGAATTGGCTATATTTAAGTCCTTAAGCCAAGGTCCTGTTAATAACATGAGACATAAATAGGTTAATATCCATCCACTTCCTCCTCACGGAGCCTATTTACTATGCCGCGCACTTTGAGCGCCACCCCGTAGCTATACGTGTACCCCAGTCCTCCAAAGCCGTAGGCATGGATTGTACGGCCATCGCAATCCAAGCGATACCCCCCCTCTCTTCCAGGTCGAAAGGCTACTATATCTTCGATCTCAACTCCACCCGGATCGATGGATCGAACAATATCTGGTGCCAGGCCCTGAACGCGTGCAATAATATCATTGCGAGCATCCGGGTCAGCTGTTCTTCGCATATCACCGGGTTGCGATACCCCGCCAAGTATGACGCCGCCAGTACCCATCCGTGGTATACAGTAAGTGTACTGAGATCCTTGAAAGAGTATCATCTCTTGTGCCGCTACGGCTGCATCCTTGCTCTTGAGCAGCAGAACGTGGCCTCGGACGGCCGCTACGGCTGGATCTGGGGCCAGCTGCAAAGCCCCGAGCCCTGAGGCGTTGATGATCACCCGTGCCCCTGATACGGATCGTGCCATGGAGATAGAATCCACAGTCTGGCGAATGAAACGCACGCCGTGCGTGACAGCTTGACCCTGGAGCCAGGGGAGATAAAGATCCGGGTTGACAGTTGTTGACAGGTAGGTAAAGCCCAGCAGATGGCCTGGGAGACGGTGATAGTCGACTACAAGCGACTGATACCAGATTTCACTGTCGTCGTTGCCACGGTCGTCGAAATACTCCCGCACAGGGGTCCTCTACAATCAGAAATATCAGTCAAAGGAGCAACAACGGATGTTGAAGTGTCCATAAGGGAGGAGTATATAGGGAAGAATAGACTACTCACTTGAACGCCACTGCTTGGATCTGTCTGCGCAAGTGACCAAAAGTATCGGTATGTCGCAGCTTGCAGGTCTCTTCCATGGTTCGTAGGATAGGGAAGAATGCCAGCACCTGCCCTGAGAAATCATTAACATGCCCCAAGCACTCGGAGCCGGGAATAGTACCGACCATGGGCTGGCCCAGAGGAGAGATGAATCACCAGGGAGCTCTCGCGCGACAACTGTGACATGATAGCCAGCCTCGGATAGAACAAGGGCAATTGAGAGGCCTATTACTCCCGCACCAATGATGCCAATATCCATGGATAAATTGGTAAAGAAGTACAAGCTGGCTAGGTAGAGTAGGCGGCTACTGTGCTTCTTATATAGCCAGCAGTTAGACATTTACGCTATCAGATTAGTGATACTGAAAGAAAGTTGTGCAACTCCTGTTGCTCATTCAACTACTACCTGATCTACACCTTTCTATTCGTGCAGGCACTTACCCTAGCAGGCTTAGAAACCCATATACACGTATGCATTTCCAGATCCAGAGTGTAGGTAGGGTATGCCTCCTCACTACTTGTATCTATCCTCCTCTACTAAACCTCCCCAAATAACATCCGCAGCACAGACTCCCTGAGCCATTGCTGGTGCTACGCCCTTGATGGGGCTGCCAGCATCGCCACAGACATACACCCCTGGCACGTTTGTACTCCCAGTAGGTTCCTCACGCGTAATAAAGGTGCCATGGCCGGGAACTTCAGCTGTAGGGAGGCCGAGCTGTGTCGCTAGGTCGGCGCTGCCTGGTCGTGTAAGCGTCTTATACACCAAGAAGTCGGCGCACTCTGTGTTGCCAGAGTCGAGATGCAGGCGGACGCCAGGACCCTCGGGGACAGGCAATGGCTCTAAGCGGCTGATTCGCGCTTGCTGCAGGGTAACGAACTGCGATAACAGGGGAGCAAATAATTTCTCAGCCTCACGCTGCTGCTCGTCGGTGTCGCACCCGTTAGTATAGACAACCACGCGGGTATTGAAACATCTCGCCCGTAGGGCGAGATGAACATGGTGCTCCGATAATGGCCACGCGAGAACACCGACGCCATGGGGTCCGTTGGCGCGCTCAAAGCCATCACAGAGGAGACATTGGTAGATGTGATCCGGCCAACAGCTTGTGAATCCGTAGATCTCTGTCGGAAGCTCATGAACCGCACCCGTGGCCAGGATGAGACGTCGGGTCTGATGAACCACGCCCGAGGCTGTCCTCACTTCAAAAGCCGGCTTTCCCGGGGTGCCAATTGCGGTGACGCTCTTAGCGATATCAGACTCTAGACGTACATTCTGGTAGGCCGACGTGATCTGCTGCTGGCTCTGGGTGATGAAGTCGACCCGGTTCATGCCCTCGCAAGCCAAGACGCCGTGTAAGGGATGGCTCCCGCGATTGGGGTGCTCGTCTTCGGCAAGGATAAGGACACGCCTCAGGGTACGGCCGAGAGCGCCGGCTGCTGCAAGCCCGGCCGGGCCAGCCCCGAGAATAAGTACGTCAACCGTCATGATGTTAGAGCAAAGATGATAGAGTCAGAACGGCAGCGACTAACCTGCGACACAAAGTCATGGTCCAGGAGGTTTAAAAACAACGGCCACGGTCCACCTAGTGCTAAGGTGGTGCCACTGTACCGACTGTTGAGGTGTGCCCACTGGTGTGTGACTATACA